AAAAAACAGAAAGTAACCTCCACTTTATTTTAGATCATGGAAAAAGTGATTTAGCGAAGATCATGAAGAACACCTACAGAAGAACCCACTTTACCTGAATTTTAGCTGCTATATCAATTTCCCTTTATTCTGATGGGGAACAGTAGACACATGAAAAAATACTTTATTTATTTAAAAAAAAAAAGCCTTAAAATGGCACAAACGTGAACTGAAAAGAGAAATGGATTTTATCTGCCTCACAAGGGAGGGAGAAATTGGTCTGGAGATTCATTGCAGAGAAATGAGTGAGTTATTTTGCTGACTGTCAGTGGTAGGTAACAATGTAATTCAATAACTGAAGGCCAGGTTTGAATAGATAGAAAATTAATCTTCAGCCACTATCTCCTGTGGGATTTTCCGGTGCCAGTATTGATTGCATTTCAGCTCCTGACTTGAGAGAGAAATTCTTTGGAGTTGGATTTTAATTATATTCACATGCTGTATTACTTTCCTTCAAAATATGTGTTTTGCTACTTTCCTCAAAAACAAAGTTTAACTGGATATTAAAACTGTACCAACCAATGCCACAATCTGTCAGGCTTTTGATAGAAATACCAGACTAAAATAATTAATAACATTGAGGTTTTCCTTTTTAATCTTTCCTTATCTTTTTTTTTTTCTAATTTAGATGTAGGTTACTTCTGATTCATAAATTTTGCAAATGAAAACTAAATAGTTTTTACTTTATATAGGAGGATCCACTATAAACATTGGATGTGTAAGGCCTGGCACAGCATTAGTCTTGCCGATCAGGAGGTAGTGACCTAAGTGAGTGCAATATTAATTTGCCTCTAGTGCTTCTGATACTTGCCTGTTGTGTGCAGAACTAGCACAGACACTGTTAGATTTAAGAGCAAAATTAATCCTGTGTGAAGGAAACTACAGAACTTTTAAAGGATTTTGCCATTTGGTGCCTCTGGGTTTTGGGAGGCAGATAGATGCATTGTTTCAATATCAGAGTTGTACATCACAAAATGCTCCCGGGAAAAGTCAATCAGGATGCAAAAGCTTGTGTGATAATGTAGAAGAAGAAAACCACCAAAAACCTATGTAAAAATTGAGCCAAATTACATTGTCTGAAGCTATCATAATGCTGTGTCATTTCAAATCATAGAACACACAAACTGTTACTGATCCTGGCTCCAGTTTGTACACTTCAAAGTAAGTTATAATGGTTTGTGGTGGGTTGACCTTGGCTGGCCTCCAGGTGCCCACTAAGCCGCTCTATCACTCCCCTCTCTATCACTCCCCCTCCCCAGCAGGACAGGGGGGAGAAAATAAGATGACAAAAAATTCATGGGTCAAGATAAAGGCAGTTTAATAAAGAAAAGCAAAAGCCATGCACGGAAGCAAAGGAAAACAAAAAGATTTATTCTCTATTCCCCAGCAGCAGGCAATGTCCAGCCACTTCTTGGGAAGTAGGGCCTCAGTACACGTAGCGGTTGTTCCAGAAGATAAATGCCTTAATAATAAATGCCTCCCTCCCCTCCTCCTTTCTCTTAGCTTTTATTGCTGAGCACAACTTCATACGGTATGGAATATCTCTTGGGTCAGCTTGGGTCAGCTGTCCCAGTTATGTCCCCTCCCAACTTATAGAATCATAGAATCATTAAGGTTGGAAAAGACCTCTAAGATCATCGAGTCCAACCGTCAACCCAACACCACCATGCCCACTAAACCATGTCCCTCAGTGCCGCATCTATGTCTTTTAAATACTTCCAGGGATGGGGACTC